CATGAGTACAATTTGTTATCTTAGGGGGGAAAAACCCACATTTGTTCAAATTCAACACCCATTCATAATCACACTAATAGAATAGTGCTTCCTTACTCTGATACAGGAGATCTATCAGAATCTACCACAGGTACCATACTCAATGGCGAAATTCTAGAAGCGGTCAAGAACACTGCAGAAGGCCCACCATCATCACTGCTACTGAACACTGTGTTGGAGGTTTTAGTCAGTGCAGTAAGATAAGGAAAAGGAAATAAAGACTGGACAGGAAGCTACCAAACTGTCATTGCTTGTAGACCCTACGATCATTTACACAGAAAATTCGAGAGAACCTGCAAACTCATTATAACTAAAAAAAGAGTTCCTCAAGTTTGCTGAGTACAGTATCATTACATAAAAGCCAACTGCATTTCAACAAGCCCTCAATAAATTATAAAACATAAATTAAAAAATTTACTTTACAACAGCAATAAAGACTTCTTCTTGGAAGAAGTCTGACAAAACTACTGCCAAAGTGAATCTCTTTGTTTTGAGTTGGGAGAACAGAAGCCCTGAGAGGGGAAGTGACTCTTCCAAGAACGTTCTGGATTCTCAGTGATACCAAATCCTGGAGATCGGAGTGTTGGGTAATTTCAGTATTGTCTTTCTTTTGTAAGAAAGAGAGAAAATATAGAAAATTCAGAATATTAAGAAGTAATGTCACTCACATTTCCATCCTTCTACCTAGAGAACTATGACCAAGGATCTGGTGTGTTTCCTTCAAAATTGTTGTCTCCCTATATTTATGTTTTTCATAATAAAATTATACTATGTATAACATTTTGGGTACTGATTATTTTCACACACATTTCCCTGTGTCCTAGTCTTTTCAAACATGCCAGTTATGTTGGCATAACTATAACACTCAATTATGTTGCTGAAGCATGTTATTTATTTAGCCTGTCATTTTGAGTTTTCTGAGAAACACCAAATATCAGATATGACTGTGATAAAAGTTGAACCCCAGAGCCAGCTCACGCACACGCAGACATGTGATTAAATGAGCTTCTAAGGCAGTGGTTGTCCCGGTGGAGAAGAGGAAATGGCAAAACGAAAGCCTTATAGCCGGCCTCGCCTGGGAAGGGACAGAGATCTAGCTAGCAAGAAGGAAACGGGACTTGGGAAGAGGAGGCTGGAGACTAAGTCCACGCTTGGAGACCAGCTCTCTCTGAGGCTTTAAGTCATTTCCCAACCTCTGCAGCCTTGTCTTTCTTCCTAGTGAAATGGAGACAGTACCCGCAGCAGCCTCACCTCCGGTTCTTTCAGAACTCAGAGCCTTTGCACTGACGTTTTCTCTGCTGGGAGCCCTGGTGGCACAGTGGTTAAGAGCTCGCTGCTAGCCAAAAATGTCAGCAGTTG